CGGGCTGGCAGAGATTCACCAGAGGTGTCTCCAGGGCACAGTCCCAGCCCTTTGCTGCCCAGGCCCACAGCTGGCTGGTCACTGGCTGTCAATGGCCTCTCCTCCCCACGCCAGGCTGTCTGATTCTGCTCAGAGGACAAGGACCTCATTGGTTATGCTGATTCTGTGGGGTCCTCCCACTCGGAAACGAGAAGCGGCCCCCCAGGCTGTACCAGCCCGGGCAGCAAGGTCTGGCCTGGGGCCCACTGTCAGCCACTCCTGAATTTTAAGCACATTAGGGACTCATGGGGAGAGAAGGAGAATCCCCACATCAAACAACCTGGCAAACCCTGCCTGGCACAGGGGCAGCCAGGCACCTGCTGGGCTGGGCTAGGCGGGCCCTTCCCTCCCCCCGAATGGAATTCCCCTGGAGCCCAGCCCTGCTGCCAGGCACAGTGCTGGGAGCACCTCGGATGGGATGATGGCACTTCCGAGGCTTGGCAGCCAGGCACACCTGGAGCCCAGACAGCTCCTCCAGGGCGGGTGGCACCCGGTAATCAGAGGATTAGTTGCTGGGCAAAGAGGCCCTTGGGTTCCGGCTTTGACGGGGCAAAGAACACCTCTGTGGTCTGGGAATACCCTCCCAGGGAGAGAAAGGGAAGGCGGATGCACCACTTGGGGCTCCCTCCACAGCTGCCAGGGGAGGACCAGCACTCCCAAGAGCCCTGGGGGGGGTACTGTTATCCTCACTGTGGGCTGTCCACCAAAGCTGAGCAAGCTTCCCAGGAGGCCATGGGGGCAGCACTCCTGAGGGCCTGGGCTTGGCTCATCCCTGGCCTCAGAAGACCCTCTGAACCTGGTGCCCTCCCCAAGCTCTGCAGGCCACTGCCAGCTCCCCCTTCATAGAATTGCCCAGGCCCTGCCTACCCCTTCCAAGGGCTTTTTGAGTAGTGCTGACCCCTGTCACTCTGAACCCACTTTGCAGATACAGAGACTGAGAAGAGGCACACATGCAGCCCAGCTGCACAGTGGTGCATGCTGGCCCCCACTTATCTGTCTAACCACTGTGCTGCTGCTCAGGTGGCCACTGGTTTGCACTAGCCCAGGTAGCAGGGTCTAGCCTGGGGCCCTCCATCAAGCCACTCTTGGATTCTAAGTGCATTAGGGGCTCATGGGGAGACAAGACACACCCATTGCTGCTCCGCCTAGGGTGCCTCCTGCCTTGCCACCATGATGGAAGCAAGCATGCACATACGCATGCGTGTCAGCAAGCGTGTGCATATGCCTGTCCAGAGCATGTCTGTGACAAGCAGACTCTGCTAATAAGGTGGCCCACACCTCCCCACAACCCTCGCCACCATTCCAAAACCAACAAAGCCCTGAAGGCGGTGAGACTTTGCAAAGTTTGCAGCAAACTCCCCGAGAAGCAAACCCGCCTCAGTGATGAGAGGCTTTGCGGAGTCCTGATTCATCCTGGTCAGTGTGGATGTTCACCCACGGGCCCCAGAGAGCAGAACATCCGTGACTATGAGGTGCCCTTCCAGAGCCTTCCAGGTCGGTGAGTGGATATTTGGGTGTGGGATGCTGTCTTTTGGACCTGGGGGTTTTGGAGGCAGACTGTGGTCCTCTGTGATCAGTCTCATGAAGGACACTGCAGACGACATCACTTAAGGAACTGACCCTGGAACAAAGGCTGACATGAGCCCTTTGGAAGATGCGGCAGCAGCGAGCCCACTGCGGGGCACTAGAGTCAGAGATGGAAGCATCTAGATGGAACAGTGCTGGACACAGGCAGCCCTCAGCAGCCCCAGCATGTGCACTGTGCGCATGTGTGGACATGTGAGACTGTACTCGGTACCTTCTTGCCCTTTCTAAGGGCCTGGGCAGAAGAGGAAGGTGGTGCCTGTGGCCAGCTCACCTCTCAATCCAACTTTTCTCTGTGTTGGTTGGCTTGTTTGTTTCTGAACATCTACACTCTTAGTGGAGACCAAGTTTTAGATAAGTCTACTGTTATCCTCACTGTGGGCTGTCCACCAAAGCTGAGCAAGCTTCCCAGGAGGCCATGGGGGCAGCACTCCTGAGGGCCTGGGCTTGGCTCATCCCTGGCCTCAGAAGACCCTCTGAACCTGGTGCCCTCCCCAAGCTCTGCAGGCCACTGCCAGCTCCCCCTTCATAGAATTGCCCAGGCCCTGCCTACCCCTTCCAAGGGCTTTTTGAGTAGTGCTGACCCCTGTCACTCTGAACCCACTTTGCAGATACAGAGACTGAGAAGAGGCACACATGCAGCCCAGCTGCACAGTGGTGCATGCTGGCCCCCACTTATCTGTCTAACCACTGTGCTGCTGCTCAGGTGGCCACTGGTTTGCACTAGCCCAGGTAGCAGGGTCTAGCCTGGGGCCCTCCATCAAGCCACTCTTGGATTCTAAGTGCATTAGGGGCTCATGGGGAGACAAGACACACCCATTGCTGCTCCGCCTAGGGTGCCTCCTGCCTTGCCACCATGATGGAAGCAAGCATGCACATACGCATGCGTGTCAGCAAGCGTGTGCATATGCCTGTCCAGAGCATGTCTGTGACAAGCAGACTCTGCTAATAAGGTGGCCCACACCTCCCCACAACCCTCGCCACCATTCCAAAACCAACAAAGCCCTGAAGGCGGTGAGACTTTGCAAAGTTTGCAGCAAACTCCCCGAGAAGCAAACCCGCCTCAGTGATGAGAGGCTTTGCGGAGTCCTGATTCATCCTGGTCAGTGTGGATGTTCACCCACGGGCCCCAGAGAGCAGAACATCCGTGACTATGAGGTGCCCTTCCAGAGCCTTCCAGGTCGGTGAGTGGATATTTGGGTGTGGGATGCTGTCTTTTGGACCTGGGGGTTTTGGAGGCAGACTGTGGTCCTCTGTGATCAGTCTCATGAAGGACACTGCAGACGACATCACTTAATGAACTGACCCTGGAACAAAGGCTGACATGAGCCCTTTGGAAGATGCGGCAGCAGCGAGCCCACTGCGGGGCACTAGAGTCAGAGATGGAAGCATCTAGATGGAACAGTGCTGGACACAGGCAGCCCTCAGCAGCCCCAGCATGTGCACTGTGCGCATGTGTGGACATGTGAGACTGTACTCGGTACCTTCTTGCCCTTTCTAAGGGCCTGGGCAGAAGAGGAAGGTGGTGCCTGTGGCCAGCTCACCTCTCAATCCAACTTTTCTCTGTGTTGGTTGGCTTGTTTGTTTCTGAACATCTACACTCTTAGTGGAGACCAAGTTTTAGATAAGTCCATGGTTTCATCTGCTAGCCCCCATGCGTCCCCCAGTTATTCCCTTGATGGTACCTCTGGTCCATCCCTCTCCACAGGCCCAGACTCACAGTTCCCACCGTGCCTGCCTGACTGCCTCCACTGGGGATCCCATGGGCAGCCCATGCTGGGCCAAATCATCCCATCTATACAGCAGCACATGTGTCAGCCTGGTCTCCCAGGCAACGTACTCTGAATCCTGGTTAACCCCTCCTTCTGTTCCCTCACTGTCTTCCAATCCCCCCACAATTTTGGGATTGACATTTGACCACCATGACCACAGGCCCAGCAACCCATGAGCTCAGGGAGCAGAAAGCCCTGAAGCTGGAAGCTGGCCCTCCTTGAGAGCAGAGCGCCTTCCTCCTTTGGTTCAAGCTGGGGGAGGCCAACTCATTGGAGCTGTGGTCTCTGACACCTGGAGGAAGGTACTCGAGTTCCTGGTGGGAAGGGTGGAGCGACATTAAGGGTGGTGGCTGAGGAATGCTCTCTCTTTGCCTCCCCCAGGACTGGCAGTCACTCACCTGCCTGGGGCTGCAAAAGTCCAGCATGCTCCCTCCCTCCCAACTGTGTTCCTCAAACCACTGAACTTGCCCATGGTGCCTTGGGAAGGCCCCACCCTGTGCTCCTGGGAGCCAGCCAGGTCCATGTGCACGCACAGCTACGCAAACCCTGCCTGTGCCCACAGGCCCTTCCAGAAAGCAGTTTGCAGATGCAGTGCCTCTCCACGCACACGTGCACTTTCACAGAACCTGGGCTGTACATGCTTCCAAGGTCGTGTTTGTGAAATATACTGCAAAACTCAAATCAAACAGCAAACTAACAGAATGGAAAAGGATTTAAGCAATATGAAAATGTTGGCAAATCTAAGTGGACTTTTGTAGGGTTTGAAGAGTTATTGAGATGAGGCTGTGTGGCTGGTGAAGGAGGGAGCCGCTCAGGCAGGGGTTGCTGAAAGCCTTCCTGCCCGTGCATGGCCCCAGCTGCTTGCACAGGGTCCTCCTGGGACACCCGCAGGACCTGGGCGGTGGTGGCATCTGGAAGTTCATCCCAGCTTCCGGCGTTCTGGCTTCAGTATGGCTCCTGCCACACACGGAGCTGCGCCACTCCCCGATGTCCACTGCCGTCCCCTCTTGTCCTTGGACAGTTCTCAAAGGCAGCTGGCTGGCTCCTTCCCAGGCTAAGCCGGAGATGCGCAGGTGCGCCCCCGGTGGAGCCCACCAGCACCTCTACTCGCCTCCTAGTCCTGCCCACACTTGCCTGCGACCAGACAGCTTCAGCCTCAGCCCCGGCAGATGCCTAATAAATACCTATCATGGCCTCCACTCAAAGGCCCTGCCAGCTTATGGCACCTGGAACCAGCGGGGAAACTGGCCCCACACTACCCTCGGGCCGAGCCCAGTGTCCCCACACAGATCAGCCACAGAGCTTGCAGAGCGGCAGGGGGCACCCTGTGCTGCCCTGGTGTGGAAACTCTATCGCAAAGTAAGGGCAGCATCGTGGGCTCCCCCTCTGCCCCACTTCCGGACACGTAAGTTTATACTCAGGAATACCAGAGGCTGTTCGAATGAGGGCTCAGGCAGACAGCCCGGGAGAGAGCCACTCCTCACATGTCCAGGAGGGACAGGCACCGCCTCCAGCATCTCTGGTGCTCATGGACGCTCCCTCCCACATCACCTGCTTCCCGTGGTGAGAGCAATGGAGAACATGGAGTTGTGTACAGTTCCTCACCTGGAACGACTGGAAGAGCTGGAAGGTGCCCACGAGCCAGATGTACAGGTGAGAGTACACCTTGGTGGATGTGCCGTTGAAGGTATTGGCCACCACCAGGAATGAGTAGGGCCCCACTGTGAAGAACTCCCAGTCATAGGCACCCGAGGTGGCGATGGTCTGGTTGATCTCGAACAGGCGGGTCCTGGGGTTCCACTTGTAGATAACGCTATTGATGTTGTGGTTGTCACCTAGAACCAAGGGGTGGCATGGAGTAAGGAGCAACCTTGGGGGACCAGAACTCACCCCAGAGCTTGTCCTAGGGCCCTACCATGTCCAGCCAATGGGGCAGGGAGACAGCTCCGCACAGGCCCTGTTCACCCTGAGCTCTGTCCTCTCTCCCTCCCACTCTCAGCCCCTCATGGTCTACCCGAGCCTCTGGGCCTTCACAAAGGCTCCCAACACCTCTGTCATAGCTCTGCATCCCTGCAGTGGCCTTCCAGCAACCTGGATATGAGACCCACCTGCCTCCTCGACCTCCTCTGCCACTGCCCTGTGACCTCTGTTCTCACTGTCCCCAGAACAGAACTTTCCACATAGCGCTCCCTTTCCTGGACAGCCCTCCCAAGCCCTGCTCACTGGGGACCCTCCTGGGCCTTTGTGTCCACTCACAGCAGCATCACAGACTTTACATGCAGAGGAAGAACTAGTTCTTAGGGAAACAGTCATCAGCAACCCCAGGTCTGAATCCCTCAGCATTCCTGGGACCGATGCTGGGCTGCACCTGTGCTGGCCAGACTCCTCCAAAGGCTAGTTAATCTCCAATGGGAGGAAGCCTGCAGGCAGAGTCTGTGCTGAGAGTGAGGGCATACATTTCGTGGTGGCTCTCCCGGGGCAGGAGCCTCCTGGGACTACCCAGCTATTGTCCCTGGGTCGGTGGGTGAGGTGTTGTGGTACTCATGTAAGCTCAGCCTTTGCCACGTGGTCAGAGTTGAGACCATGGAAGTGGCTATGACTTACTACTGCTTTTCAATGAGATAAATATTCACCCTACACACAAGTCATTCTCTGCCTAGAAAGGGCCCATCTCGGTCAAAGGCCACACCTGCCCTACCTTCCCGGTGGTTGGCCACTGCCAGAAAGTGCTCCCCCTGCACCTCGAAGGCCTCCCAGTCCCGGGCGCTGTGGGTGGCGATCCTCTGGTATGGGGTGAACTTCAGTTTCCTGTGGCTCCATTTGTAAATGACAGAGAACTCCTCGCCCTTTCTATCCGGTCCGAAATTAGCCACAGCCAAGAAGATCTGGAAGAGAGCAAACCAGGACCTGGACGTCAGCATCTGTCTCCAAGTCCACGTTCTGTCTAAATGGTGCAGGCAGGAAGGCGGAGCACAGCCTCGTTGCTGGTCACGAGTCACCACGGGTGGTGGGGAGACAGTGACTAGCTCTCTGAGTCTGGGAACTGTATTAAACATTTTTTAATTTTTTTTTTTTTTAGCTTTTGTTAGGGTGTGTGCACTTGCCGAGGGAGAGCAGGAAAGAGAAATTATCCCTGGAGGTCAGGGTGTGGGTGACCCCATCATAATCCCGTCTCCTACATTCTCTTCTTAGGATTTGGGCACGCATGTGTACAGGCCACTGAGTCCAGGACACAAATTGCACAGTTGGCTATGTGGGGTCCCGCTGCCTTAATCTCCATGCCGCCCGCTGGCTCCCAAACACCTGTATTCTTTAGCACATTAATTCCTCTTCTATCTTTAACCAAAAGCAAGCAAAACAAAACCCCCGAATTAAGGAGAAGCATGTACAAAAGAGTTCCTCAACTTGGAATCATGAAAAAGAAACCTAACGACGTGCTCTGATGCAGTAGGATGTGGGTCATCACTCAATGGCACGCAAGTGTGACCGCGGGAAACACGGACGTGCCTGCTGACGTGCTGTCACCAGGCCTCCGCCGTGGGCAGTGTGGGTAACAGGAACGAGCGGTGTGGTGTACTGTTTGTGTGGAACGTGTCCGAGGGCCAGAATGCCAGACGAAACATGTATTTGCTCAGGTGACAGAATAAAATATTTCCCCTGTCTTTCTGAATGTGCTGATTTTCATTGATATAATAAAGTTATTGTTGTTTATAATGAAAAGAAACTTTAAAGTGTCATTAGCCAAACAAAAGTGCTAGTTATTCATGCACCACACCAGGCTCTGGCAAAGGTGGGACCGCAGAGGCCCATAAGTGGCAGGAGCACGGGGCTTGGTCTGGGCTGCTTGTTGCTTCACCCCTACCTCGGTGGGCATCACCTGCACTTGGCATCCCCTTGAGGGTGAGCACATACCTGGAGACATGAGATGTTGTCTCTCGGACACTGCCATTTGGAGTCCAGGGTGCAGAAGGAAGAGGGAAGAGAAAATTCATCCTTCAGACTTGCCACCCTCGGACCTTCAGCTCAACCCAGCCCTGACTGAAAGGGAGCCGCCTGCTTGCGAGGTCTTACCCACACAACCTCCCCGCCATGGAGTAATAAAAGGGACGGAGTATAGCTCTTTGCATTCTGAAGTGACTTCTGCACTGTGGAGTGGCTCAGTGTAATTATCTTGATGGATAAGTTTAAGTAATGATGGCCTACACAGAAATGACCTTGTCTTCATCGATGGGGGAAGCCCAATGGACTTTCTCAAAGTCACATTCTAGACTTAGAGTTGTAGCCTAATGTGTATGACTTTGAGAGCCTTTCACAATCTGAAGGAGGTTTTCGAACCATGACCAACACTTGTACCTGTAGAATCTTTATAAGGAGCCTCGACCTTTAAGGGTCTCTGAGGGTTTTTCCTAATTAAAAAGGATGGAGGAAGTCTCTCAGGGCAGACTTGCCTTTCTCCCGATGGTGAAATGGCTCCAGGACTGGGCTTGGTGTGTGCGGATGTCCTGATACGAGATGAACTTCCCGTCGGTCCACTTGTAGATGGCAGACATGGCTTTCCGATTGGCTGTGGCTACGAAGAGCCCCACCTCGGGAATGCGGAACACCTCGATGCCCAGGGTCTCGGAGTTGGTGAACAGCTCCTGGTGCTCCTCCACGTAGTCCAGTCTTTCTTTGGCTTGTGATAGAAACATCAGGAGATGTTAACATCTCCAGGAATGGAAGCCGGCTCGCTCCCAGATCCTGAGCCAGCACGCCTGGAGCCTCAGCCTTGGGCTGTTTTCACGAGGCTTGGCCCGAGCTTGTTTCACCCTCATAAGAAGGGTCTGTCAAAGGGACCTGTACCATCCCCAGCAACACCAAGGGGACACAATTTCTCCATCGTGTCCTTAGCACTGTATGTCCTGCATCTATGGAAAACTGTGCTCTGGGAAAGGTGGAATAGAGTCGAGTTGACGGCTTATAGGTGTCCCGGCTGGGGCTGGTGCCCACATCCTGCAGACAACCGCACTGGAGCATCTGTCAAAACCTTTACTCACCTTCCCCACAAACTGGAGCAGGCTGCTGAAAGGGCTTGCTGTAAAAAATGACAACTTTCAGTTTGGGACATCTTGGCACCTCATCTATGACCTGTGGGTGGGGTTGGGCAGAGGAGGGAGGGAACTTGTTCATCCTACATTCTTCCTATGGTCGGGGGGGAAGTGCCAAGGGAGTTTCAGGCCCAGGAGAGCTTCTATTTCCACATGAAATGCATGAGCCCTTGTGTGGGTCTATTTCCTGTCCTGGGTAGTGAGACTCTAGGAGCACTGTCGGGAGCACAGTGTCCTGGCTTGCTTGGGAGACCAGGCGTCCTTCCTCACGGTGCCCTCAACTCTTAGGATTGTCCTAGCCCAAATGACCAGGCACATGGCCATTGAGAGACAACCAAGGCTGTGTGCCCTTTCATGACCTCCCTTTCTCCGATTATCACATGCCTGGAGCTGTCCCCTGCCTGCTCAGGACATCGTGGAGAGCCGGCACCCTGAGTCCTCTCAGTCCCTGCTCACCTGCTAGCACGGAGACCCACTGGTTGCCGACACACAAGTACAGCCCCTTTCGGCTGGCATCAAACCAAAATTGGGCATCTTCTACTTTGGTACATGGTGGTCGGGAGCCCAGTGTCACTTTCACGCTGGTTTCTGTGGAGAAAACCAGAAAGATGAGTGTCCAGCAGGCCAGCGCTTCCTGGAGGAGGATAGTGTGGGAGGGGTCATGCAGTAGGCAGCCCTGCCTTTGCATTCACAGGTGGCCAGGAAAGACCCTCCCACATCTTGGTGCAGCTTGTCACGCCACAGGCAGGGATGATGAGACCCAGGGGAAGTGGTGCGCCCAAGGCCCTCCGTGCGGGCCATTGCCATGTTCCCTGTAGTGGCCAGCCTGCTGCCTACTCCCAAAGGGAAGCTTTCTGTCGTATCTGCAGCCTTCTGAAAGCCCAGTAATTCCCTGCTGCTGTCTGTACTTAGCAGCTGCTATTTGTTGGCCCTAGTTGACCTAAACAGATGAGCCTGGCATTGGGGCATTATGAGCCCTTACTTCTAGTAATAATGCCACCTTGGTGCACTTAACCATGCTGCTTCTCTGTTTACTGCAGTGTCTGTGCAGCAGCCCAGGCCCACCTGCCTGCACTGACCAGCACGGGACAGAGTGGATTATTAGGGCTAGACATGCTCCCTGACTTGTGAACTGCCAGGATGGGGCTCTGCTGTCTCCCCATGTCCGGTTCCTTAGCAGAGCAGTGGGGGGTATGGTATGTTGGGGAGGGGATTGCAGATTCTCCGCAGCAGGAGTGTGATTTACATGAACACCAGTAACACTGCAACTTTCCTTGGGAAGATGCAAATACAACCTAGAGAAAGTGCATCGTGGATGCACTTGGATCCCTTGGATTGTGGGAACCAAGGTGGTGTCCCCGACAGGAGCTGGGCTGAGGCTGGATCACCATTGTAGGGAGGGACAGGGACCAAAGCCCCCAAACACCACCCGTCCTGGAGCAAAACAGGGCAGCAGGTAGACCCCAGAAGATGGCAGCTGGACGGCTGCTGCAGGAGCCCTCAGAGGGAAGCGTGAATGGTGCTGGGTGTCTGAGGATGCCATCTGCTCTAGGGTGGGCCCTGACTGCTCTCTTGGTTCACTGGACAACTGCCTTCCTGTTGCTGCGGGGCCCAGAGGAGTTGGTGGGGGTGCGCGGGGGGGCGCGCCCGGGGGGGGGTGGGGCCTGAGAGGTGACCCTCATTTTGTGCTAGCAAGAGGCCATTGTTGTGGGGGTGTAGGTGACCTCGTCTACTAACCATAGGGATATTTTAGCACCTCGTTATCTTCTGGTTTCCCTGTGAGACCCTGCAGGGCCTGAGGGATGGACAGCACAGCAAGCTGGGCA